TAGAGAGTTAGAAACATCGATGAGAGAGAAACACCGATCAGCTGCCTCCTGCACACGCCCCACTGGGGATGTGCCCGCAACCAAGGTACATGCCCCTTGACCGGAATCGAACCTGGGACCCTTGAGTCCGCAGGCCGATGCTCTATCCACTGAGCCAAACCGGTTAGGGCAATTACTATATTATTTTCCATATGAACAACTGTAAACCTACTTGTGCCCTCCCCTGTACAACTGTGTAGTACTGTACCTATAACCTGGCTGGATGTTGAGAAAAGTAGGCAAGTCACAGAAGGACAGGTGTTGGGGTTTTGTTGTTGTTTGGGTTCTTTTTGTTAAACCATGTGTGTATATTTCACACACTCTCACACACAGAGAATGAAAATTACTCAGCCATTACATCATAATATTTCCCTGACAGTGATAAATGTTCCCTCTTCACACAGGTTGGACCATAAGTGGATTTTTATTTGTACAGCCAGTTGTCCAAAGGAGGAAAAGCCAAATTCTTCATTGGCATTTGGTGTCTTTGTTTGCCCTGAGGTCTCCTCCTTCTTCTGTTGGACTCCTGAGAATGCAGAGGTCAATCAAAGGCAGAACCATGCTGCATCCCTGACTGCCTCTGGGTAGTGAGGAGGAACATTCTCTCACTTGGGTTTCAGATTCACAGAGTGGAGAAGGAATGACAGAGCCCATCCACCCAGGGCACCAGGGACGAGACAAGGAGCCAGGAAGATCTCATCAGGAGTTGGCTACTCTGGTCACTGAGAAACCCCTACAAAGGCATGTCCCTTCGGACCATAGTCTGACAGCCATGAAGCCAGAGCAGATACCAGAGTGGTATTACAAAAAGTGGATTAGGATCTAAGAGACCAACCAGGGCACTGGCATTGGGCCACCCAGTGAGTCACTTCAGTTATCTCATGTGTGCCCTGAGAATAATGACAAGGCTACTGCTCCCAGAGCCAGAGGCGTAGCTGCACCAGTACTAAAACCAGTTCTTGTTTACAGAGTCTCTGCCCTGGGCCAGGAGCCATAGTGAGTGCTTTTTTAGCGCTATCTTGTGAATTCTGTCTTCCTCTTTTCCATTTTGTTTTGAGGCTTCAGAGTCTAGAGCAGCAGTTCTCAACCTGTGGGTCGAGACTCCTTTGGCGGGCGTTTGACCCTTTCACAGGGGTCACCTAAGACCATCCTGCATATCAGATATTTACATTACAATTCATAACAGTAGCAGCATTGCAGTTATGAAGTAACAACGAAAATAATTTTATGGTTGGGTCACAACATGAGGAACTGTATTTAACGGGCCAGAAGGTTGAGAACCACTGGTCTAGGGTGAGAACTGAGAGTGCCTTTCCATGGTGCACCCCACAGTGTTTCTCCGGGTTTCTCTTTCCCTATCTTTCCAGTGAATATTTGGAATATGCAAATTCTCATATCTGCTCTTTTCTGGAAGCTTTAAGAGGATTTTGAGGTTTGTCCAGGAGTGAGTGGTACTGGACTTGTTTCTGAGAAACTTCACATTAGAGGTACACAAGTGGAAGGTTTGCCCAGGATCTGGAAGGGTACAGATACTAAGCAGTAGGTAGGGGAGCAGTTTCTATCTCCTGATGCCTTTTGATTCTCTTTTCTCTGTAAGCAGTAGGTAGACATCTTGTGATAGGAATTGGTGTGGTTGTGGTGTTCAGAGAGTGTTGTAGGTCTTGGGGGAGTTGGTGGAAGGGGTTGGGAAACAGCAGTGGATGGACTGCTGGGAAGACTGTGGGCTTGTTAAGGTTGAGGAAACAGAGAAGGCCCATGATCATATTAGCCACACATGGTCTTTGGAAGAGCAAAAGTGAAGGGAAAAGGGGTGAGAGAACCAAAGTGCATTGGCATCAGACAAAACTGTGCTTTTTATACTGGCTCCACCATCAAGTACTTCTGGGGAAATCTCTCTAAAATTTCCCCATCAATCCTGTAAGAATTCTTTCTCTTATAATTGATGTGAAGATGGAAAACTATAATGCATATGACATGCTTGGTATGTAGTAAAGTAAAATCAGAGATTAAAAGCAGATCTTTTCTGGGGGATCTGCCTTGGATGTGAATGAAAGGAAACACAGAAATTTCTGAGCAATAGGGGAAAATAGGAGGACTGGAAGCTTTAAAGGCTCAGTGACATCAGATGATGAGGTTTTTGGAGTAAGAATAACTAAAAGGATAATGGGATGCTATAGAAGCTGAAAATTCCAGGGGTTAAGATGTTCTGGGTGCTGCTTTATTGCTGTAGAGTTGGGAGTAAGGAACAGTGAGGCCAGAACGTTTTGTGAGCCATCCCCTGATCTCTCAGAAGGAATGGGAGTGTTGGCTTTGGAAGAGAAGACTGTGAACACATACAGAGGCTATTGGAAATGTTGGGGACTGATTAATGCTATAGAAGCTGAAAATTCCAGGGGTTAAGATGTTCTGGGTGCTGCTTTATTGCTGTAGAGTTGGGAGTAAGGAACAGTGAGGCCAGAACGTTTTGTGAGCCATCCCCTGATCTCTCAGAAGGAATGGGAGTGTTGGCTTTGGAAGAGAAGACTGTGAGCACATTCAGAGGCTATTGGAAATGTTGGGGACTGAGAGGGCAGTAGATGTGAGCAGTGAAGGAAATGAAAGTATTGTGCCAGCATGGAGGGGAATGATCTGGGAGCAGCAGAGAGGAACCCTGGCGTTGGTGCAAGATGAAGCTGGGACATGGTAGCCACTACTCAAGAGGGCCCTGGGGCAAGGCTGTGTGCAAAGGAAGCCAGGCTTTACTTGTTAGAGGTGGGAGACTTACAGGCTTGAACCTGAATGCCTTGAAGTGGGCTAGCTAGTCTCTGGCAGCTGCTGCCACAGATGGTAAGGTTGGCATTAATTCTTACTGGCTGATCATCTTGTTCTTTCATTGATATGCAGGCTCCAAACCTTCCTCTTTTACCTAAAAACTATCTCCATCTTCTCCACTTCTCCCCATTCCTGTTAACATGCATGCACAAACATACGCACTCACCCGGCTGGCGTAGCTCAGTGGTTGAGTGTCCACCCATAAACCAGGAGGTCACAGTTCAATTCCTGGTCAGAGCATATGGCCAGATTGCAGGCTCAATCCCCAGTGTGGGGTGTGCAGGCAGCCAATCAATGATTCTCTCACCATTGATGTTTCTATCTCTCCCTCTCCCTTCCTCTCTGGAATCAATAAAAATATATATTTTTAAAAAACACAAGCAAACAAAAAAAAAGTTGAAGTCTTCAAATTCCTCACGTTGGCCTTTGCTCTTATCATTACAACTTCCAGAGTTTTGAGGCTACTTTCCTAGAGCTACAGCTCAAGGAATCACTAGATATAAATGACAGTGTTCCCAAGCCTGTGCCTTGAACTCCAATAAGTACTTTCTCTTTTCTCTATATGTGAAAACAGGGAAAGAAAGGCAGTTATAGGAACAGAAGGATCCCGCCTGGACCAGCTCCAGAAAACAACTTCACCCAGGGGTCTTATGGGTGTTCTGAGTGCTTCATTTGGGTCTCAAAATAAGCTCAGGCCCAGCCTTAACACTTGTCATCTTTCTGTGGTCTACCACATAGAGCCCATACTGAGCTTTCTGAATGACCTTGGCCATCCCAGAAACAGCATCTCTCCTTAGATCTGAATCCTTGTACTTAAGAACCTACATCCGCTGTTCACATCTCACCTATTTTGCTTTTGTGAATAACAGAACATCAGGCCTCCAGAGTCTGAGAACCAAGTTATTGCCTAACTCAAATCTTCCTTTGCTAGAAACAGGCCCTTAGGCTCCATTAGTCCTTCAACTGAGACCCTGGTACTCCTTCTTGGGCCTTAAGTGAGGCATGTGGTCTCTTCAAAGCTGAACCAGTGCTGGGGTCCAAACCCAGCAGGTCCAGGGGTCCCCAAAGGTGTGGACGGGGTCGGCGAAGACTATTCACCCTCTTCCTACGGTGGAGTCCGATCTGTCCCGAGTGCAGGGCACTTACCTAGGGGTCCCTGTTCGGGCACCAGATGCTGGGGTCCAACCCCAGCAGGTCCAAGGGTCCCCAAAGGTGTGGACGGAGTCTGCGAAGAAGGACTGACACAGAGACAGCATTCAGTTGATCAGCAGCCTAGCCAGGATCTCTAGCCAAGTTCTGTGTAGGATCTCCGGCCAGGTTCTGTGTCCATGTTCTCTTGCTAGGTTCTCCAGCCAGGTTCTGTAGCCATATTCTCTTGCTACGTTCTCCAGCCAGGTTCGGTTTAGGTTCTCCAGCCAGGTTCGGTCGCCAGGTTCTGTAGCCGGGTTCTTCAGCCAGTATCTCCATTCCAGGGAGTAAAGATTATGTAGCTTAAGTGTGATGGTTTGTAGTTAAAGAGATTAATTCCCCGCCTGGCACTTAGTGAAGGGGTTTTATTCCCTCCCTGACTTCAGGGGAAAATCTCTATCTGGGGAAACAACCTTTCTCGGAGAGGTGACCTTGGTTAAAACACATAGCACCAAGAAGGTGAGCAAACATATTACGAACAGTATGCCATATACGCCAGGTCCCTTGAAACATATGCTGTGCAGATGTTTCTTCCCTGCAGTGACTGTGTCAAGCAGCAAGGATGGACCGGCTCCCGGCAAACCAGCTTCTGCCAAAATAGGAGAAAGGGGCACCTATAAACTCAGTAATGGAGCAGACATACTGAGTCTTTTTTAGTGTGTTTCCTTGGAAGACACCCGTATTTAAATGTGAATTTTGCCTCTCCCCATCAGCTGATAACTTACTCACTTGTTTTTTTTCTAATTCTCATGCAGAGATTATATCTAATGACTCATTTATCTCTGAGACTCTAAGAGGGTACATTGGCTTCTCCAGAGTGCAGGGTTCAGAATAAAAACATATAACTGAAGCAATACAGACACTCTTCTGTGGTTACAACTCTCATACCTACAAGAAGGACATTGGAATCTGGCCCCCAGGATCCAGCCCTCCAGCTCTGACCAGCTCTGTTTTCCTTCCAGGGAAATTGTATTTCTTCTCTAGCGGCCTTCTGTTTTCTCACCGTCATCATGGAAGCATCATCATTTCCAAGGATCACATGAATTCCATTTCATTCTATGATGGGGTAGGTATTTTACTAGTCTGTGGCTTTCGTGTTCAGAAAGATACTCCACTTCTGAGAGAAAAACCAAATAACTCTTTGTCCTCGCTCTACCACCATGGGTGAGGATGTCAGGAATCAGCACTGCGTTTAAGACAGGCAGGCAGGGAGACCATGGAGAGGCATGCCCACTCTCAGGGCCCTAAGCCTCATCAGCCTTGCTGCTCTGTAAAGGGCTTAGCTACAAGGGGCTTCTGGGTCAGGAGGGCCAGCAGCTACCCATGGGTAATTAACTCATCCCAAAGAGGATGAGAAAGTGGTCTGAAGAAGGCTTCCAATGGCCCCTACCAGATGGCCACCTACCCAGGAACACAAAGCTCACCCATCTAAGAGCTGCTTCCTGCCCAGCCAGCATAGCTCAGTGGTTGAGCATGGACCTATGAACCAAGATGTCACAGTTTGATTCCCAGTCAAGGCACATGCCCAGGTTGGAGGCTTGATCCCCCGTAAGGGGCGTGCAGAAGGCAACAGATCAGTGATTCTCCCTCATCATTGATGTTTTTATCTCTCTCTCCCTCTACCTTCCTCTCTGAAATCAATAAAAATATATTTTTTTAAAGTACCCTAGAATGAATTTTGAGGTGACATTTTTAGGAAAAAAACACCTTTGTGCTTCCTATATCTTGTATACTGGGTATTGGAAAGCACATCTATTATTGAACCCCAGTAAAATCACATAATGTGAAAATCATTTCACTAAAATTCATTTTATGTGTCTGATAGTAGTCGTGAGGGCTGGTATCATGCAAATAGCTTTTCTCATTGATGCTCCCTCTTTTTTCTCTTAGGATTCCACCAGTGTTGTTGCTGTCCTTCTGGTATACTTCAGAAGCTCATTACTTCCTCATCTCCCAGTTCATTTCCATGGTTCAAGCAATTTTATGATGATTGCCCTTTTCCCCAAATCAAAGATCTACCAAGCATTTTACCCAGAGGTAACATCAATCATTAGTGAGCAAAACTACTACTCTTCCCCCTAGCAGTTTAGGTGGTAAGGCAGCATCTCAGTGAAGTGATGAGGAGTGTTGGGAAGGCTGGTCGGGTGGCTGCTTCTAATCCCTTTGGGTTCTGGAGTGGTGCCTTGCGTTAAGAGTTGAGAACTTAAAGGAACTGAGCAAAAGGCTTTTTTAGCTTCTAAGAAAAGTCTTCCTGTCCCTTTAAATCCTAATTAGACTTATTTTCCCTTTAGCTACTTGGTTGAATTCTTGGGCCCTACCTACTGGATTAGAGCTCTCTGCCCCACCCCAAGTTCTCCCTCCCCATGTTTCAGAGCCCTGCCCTTGTGAATGGTCCCACCTGGCAGGCTTATTATAGGCACTCAGCACAGATTGCATGAGTGAGGGAGCTTACTGAGAATTATACAACCCACTTAGAGACCAAGAATAGTCAAAGTCAAACAGATGGCCAGCCTTATGATGGTGGAAATCTTTGGAAAGGTGTGATTGGAGCAGCTTATGAGAGGACAGTGTCTCTCCCTCAGGACAGATGCGCAGAACGTGGAGGAGACGAGCTGGCCGTGGCTGCAGATGGCGTCTCAGGCCCGTCTGTGTCTCCCTCTGACTGCCTGCTGGTCCTTCCTACCTCCTTGTGCTGCTGCTTTCAACCTGGAACATGGCAGCAGCCCTTTAGATTCTCTTTGGCCATCCCTCTGCCTCCAGACAGGAGTTGCTTGAACACTCCTTCTGTCTGGCCTGTCACCAGGGAAGACATGCCACTTCTGCCAGAACGTGTTATCCAGCACCTTCTTCTGTGCCTCCTGGCCTCTGAAGGAGCAGAATCCCTGGGAGAGGAACCCAGAAAGAAATTCTAGTTTTGAAAAATACAGAACAAAATTGCTTCAGGTCTCTATTTTTGAAACAGACTTGTTTGTTATGCTGGTCTGTCTCCGTACTGACAGCCTAGATTTTCAACAACTATCAAAACCCCATGCGGGTTCCATATCCTGTTGTTGGGTTTCAAGTGTTCTTTGCTCAAATTCTGTTTTGTTTAGGTCTTCTCCCTCTGGCAACAGCAGGCTAACTCAGGGCTGTCTTTAAAAGTGATCCAGGAAGATGGATTATCTGTGGAACAAAAGAAATTGTAAGTGGCTGCCTTCAGTGTTTATGCTTGCTTCCTAAGTCGTGCATGTCTGTTCTCTCTGCAGGATGACTTGCGTTATGTAACACAGGGGTCTTGGCTTCTAAAAGGGCCGACACAGTCACTTTAGTGCTGCCAACTTGCAGGTAGCAAGAGCCCTTGGGGAAATAAAAGTCAAGAAAGATGAAATCCACCAAGAATCAGAAACCCATTGTATTACCAGGGGTTTCAGGCCAGCCTTCCTATGCGGGCACACCAGTCGCATTTTATTTAAGTCGGCAAGATGCTTGTTTTGGAAGTGTTGACTCTGTCACAGGACTCTGGCTTGAAAGCATCAGAATAAGTTATGTAAAGTATGTGCATCATAGGGATTAATATATTGTTATTGATTTCAAAGAGGAAGGGAGAAGGAGAGAGAGAGAGAGAAACAGCAATGATGAGAGAGAATCATTGATCAGCTGCCTCTTGCATGCCCCACACTGGGTTTCACCTGACCGGGAGTCGAACCATGACCTCCTGGTTCAGAGGTCGATGCTCAACCACTGAGCCACACCAGCTGGGTTAATCTGTGAGCTTTTGATATTCCAGACACTCCAGTGCACAGAAGCTCTTCGATGTCCTGAGCCATGCTGCCAGGGAGAAACGAAGTCCTCTAAAGCTGCTCTCCGCCAAACTCCCAGAGCTGGACTGGTAAGCTCTGATTTTCTGTTTATAGATGTTTAATATTCTGGCTTTGAAATGTCAGAAACCTCAGTGTTGGTCCTTTCTAAGCTTTTTTCTTCATAGCTTCTTAGGGATCATAGAAGTTAGTAATGACACACCATATCCAATGTTATTCTTTAGAGAGAATCTCTAAGGTTTCTTTTTCATCAATTAAATAAGGAGTTTCTCATGTGGATGGGCACAGTAAGGCCAGGCTGGTGATGCTAACACAAGAGCATTCTCTTGCTTTTCTAGGTTTCTCCAGCATTTCGCTATCAGCAGCGTTAGTCAGGAGCCTGTGATGAGGGCCCATCTCCCTGTCCTGCTGCAGCAAACTGAAATCAGCCCTACTCACCGAGTAGAAAATGACAAGGTACAGCAGCTCACCAAATCTGCTGGGAGTTCATGGGAAGAGAACCCTGATAGCCTGGCCTTGATCTTCTGTATAAGTTAACAAGAGTAGCTCAGGCAGAGTCCCTTTTATAGGCCTCTCCCCCTCTTTGGACACTGATGTAATAATGCACATGAAACCTGCTCTGTGCAATGTGTACAGGCGTCTGCATTAACCCCAGCCAAGCCTATGGCAGCTTGAAACTCTGGCACCCTGCCGGGCCCTCCCCTTCCTTCTCCAGGCTTTTCAAACTCTTGCTCAGTGCTCTCATGCTGTCAGCTCTTTCTGGTTGTGACAAGGACTTACCTGGCACTGGGTGACACATTGAGCCTAATGATGGGATGGGCCTTGTTACTTGGGCCTTGCTGGCATCACCAAGGTAAGGTGATACTGTATAAACATCACAGAGTGGATTTTAATCTGCTCCCATTCACACTCCCTTCCTCTTAACCCCTCCCACCATTTCTTTGGAGCCATATGTCTTTATATGCTCAAAGAGGGCATTTATTTCTGTGAAAATCTAGAAGACACTCAGCTATAAAAGAAAATAGAACCAGTAAGCAATTAGAAGCCTCGTTTTTCCCTTAGGAAAAATGAAATTGCCTACTTGTTATATTTTGTTAAAAGGTGCTATAGGCCCTGGCCAGGTACTTAGTTGGTTAGTATTGTCTGGATACACCACGATTGCAGGTTTGATCCCCGGTCAGGGGACATACAAGAAGAAACCAATGAATGCATAAATAAATGGAACAACAATATTTCTCTCTCTCTCTAAAAATCAGTAAAAAATATTTTTAAAGGTGCCGTAGGACTGTCCTTAAAATAAGAAGGTGTCTGGCTATAAGCATGTGTGCTGTGATTTGAGAGGCTGGGGCCTGGGCACTGAGAAAAGGAAATTTGGATGGGAGGAGGATAAACAAAAAGTCAGTTACATGGAATACTCCCCACAGGGGCAGAGAGGGATACAAAGTAGGGGCCTGGTCAGAGGGGAGGTGGGAGAGCTGCTACTTCCCAAAAAGAGGAGGGACCCATTGCCATCTCTCTGCTGACCAGTGAGTGTCACCGCGCTGAGCCTTAGTGTAAGTTATTTGTGACCAGGCCTGTCCATGTGAGTCTTGTGTATTGTGATAAAGCACATACTTAAAGAGGCCTTTGCCACACTATATCACTTTTTCCTTTCCTCCCCTGCTTGACCCTTCTTTGTTAGTGAATTTCTTTGAGTTGCTTTACAATGTCTGCCTGCAGAGGGCCCTGTTTTCTTATGGCTGTGTATTAAAGTTGGGACAACCCAGCCTGGGTCTTCTCACCATCAAAATTCAAAGGACAAAAGGCCACGACCAGCCTCTGCTTCAGGGAATTCAGCTCCTTGTGCTGGGCAACTTTAATGTGCAAACATTTCACAAAACCCTACATGTGGACATTTTGCTCCCCAGAGGTCAGTCTGAGCAGAGCAAAGAGAAGTGGAACCGGCTCTGAGCTGAGTTGTAGGAAGAAGCTGACACCTGCATCCCCAGCCAGTTTTTAATGCCTAACATCCTACAATGTATTCTCCTTGCAGCACTCAGGACCTCACCCCACTAATCATTTCTATTAGAGTAAAATATATGTTAAAAAAAAAACAAACCCAAAAACCTCAGAGAAAATAAAAAGACTCAAAAATGCTTCCTACACCAGTTTGTTTCCTCAGCTCAGGCTATGCAGCTTGGAGGGCAGAGCAGCCAGACAAAAACATCTACATTCCCACTGGTTTCCTTGGCTGAGGTTACTATGCCAGTTGAGCCTATGGCATTTTGGTTCCAGACCTCTTATCTGCCTAGTATTTTCCACTGTATTTTAATTGATCTAGTCAGTGTGCTCTATGGAAATTATAATACTAATACAAAATTTAAAAAGTGTTTGCTATGTGCCAGACAATGTTCTAAGCACTTTACATATATTAACTCTAATCATCACACCTACCTCGAAAGGTAGGTTCTGTTGTTAGCCCAAGGTCATCACAAAGCTAGTGAGTGCTGGTGCTGAAGTTCATACTCACAGAACCTGGCGCCAGCAGCCTGTTCTCTCGCACAAGGCTGCCCCCCCCGAATGAATCACAAACCCACACGGCTTTTCTTTCGCGTAGGTCGTCATCAGCATTGTAACTGGCCTCCCGGGGTGCCATGCTAGCGAGCTCTGTGCTTTTCTGGTCACTCTGCATAAGGAATATGGCAGGTTAGTATGGCTGCCGCCTTTGCTTTGGGGAAAGGGAAACCTTGGACACGTACTGACCTTTGGGGTAACTGGTATCAGCACAGTAGTCATCACCCATCCATTCATTTGACACGTTTGTACTGAGCACTTTCTGAATGCCAGGCACTGCTCTAAGTGTGGAGGACAAATGACCAAAACAGACACGAAAATCTCTGCCCTCATGGAGCTTACATTCTCATGTGGGAAGACAATTAACCAGATGAGGAAAATCGTGTAGTGAAAAGTACGATGGGGAAAATAAAGCAGAGAAGGCTATAGGGGTTAGTGGGCTGGGAGGTTGTGGGTGGGAGCAGGGATTCCAGCTTTAAAGAGGAGACCTCATTAAGAAGGTGACATTCGAGCAAAGGCCTCAGAAAGTGAGGGAATGAACCCCTGGGCGTCTGGACGAGCACTGTCACAGCCGGACCAGCGCCGCGAAGGCCTGGGAGTGTGCCTTGTCAGCAGGGCGATTCAGGGCCAGGGTGGTTAGAACTTGGGACTGCGTGAGTTCAGGTGCAGCTGGGACATGTTGGCTCAGGTGAAATTGGGGAGCCATTCATCCATCACTTCCACCTGGCTGGCAGGTTACTAAACAACACTTGCTCACTGAGGCATTGAGTCAGTCTACTTCAAAGTAAGGCATCCTGCTGGAGGCTGGAGGGATTGAGAGGACTGCAGTGGCCCAGAGGTTTGGGAGTTTTGGGTGGGAGGTTGTGGAGGCTGGAGAGACAGGTTTTAGAGAGATGTGAGGGAGATATTGGACCTCCTTTATATAAGTACTAAGTAGTTAACCAGTTTCTCCCTCATTTCCATTGCTTTTGTTCTGCAATCAGTCTAAATTCTTCACTCTGCACATTTCTTATTCTCAGCAAGCATTTTATTGAGCACCAGACTGAAGCCATTGTATTGAATGGTCCTTCAGGAAGTGACTGCCTGGTCAGTAGTCTTTCTCAGCTCTGAAGCCTATTGGCCTTTTTCCCTGTGGCAAGGAGTTTCCTGTCATAAGCTCCAGTGGCAGTGGTGTCAAGATAGGGGGCTCCAAACCCAGGCAGTGCCCCCTGCCTGTTTCTGTGGTGCCAGGATTGCGCTCTCCTGTACCGATGGATTCACTGGGCAGAATGTCTGACATTTGAATCCACGACTGAGCTGCCGGGCCAGGCCTTCAGGTGGCACCCACAGTGAGATCACACTTGCCATTTCCAGGTGGATGGTGTACCGCCAAGTCATGGACAGCTCTGAGTGTTTTCATGCTGCCCACTTCCAGAAGTACCTTTCCAGTGCCCTGGAGGCCCAGCGGCCCCGCTCTGCCCGCCAGTCAGCCTACATCCGCAAGAAGACCAGATTGTTGGTGGTGTTACAAGGGTGAGCACTGGGAGTCTGGGGACAGTGGGGTAGGGTGGTGGCATTGTCACTGCTGTTACTTAATGTGTAGCTCACCTGGGGCACAGAACAAACTCCACATGTGTATGAGCAGGGTCTGCACTACATAGAAAGGCCTTAAATGAGCAAGGACTCCTGTTGCCATCCTGTGGCCTGGAGTAGCTGGTGTAGCTTGCACACAAGTTTTAGGTTTGACTTTAACATCATACTGTCACCAAAAGGTGGGGATTAGGGAGGTTTTCTAGGTAAGTTTCTTTGATAATTCTTATAACAATAGTGATCCCTAAGCCTCTTCCTTCACTGTTTAGGCAAGGGAGCTTCACCTGTTTCAGCCCTCCCTCATATGGAGTTGCAGAGACAGCCCCCACACTCTGCAGTCTCCAGCCCCACCATCCTGAGGATGGCTGGTCCAAGGAGGGTTTCCTGAGACTGTCGGTGAAGAGCTTGATTAGTCCAGCTGAACAAGGAGCTCCCTGAGAGACAGGTTTGACTGTGTACCACTGCTCCCAGCACCCTAGCTACAAGGAGCTTCCCTTGACCTCTTGTAAGGCCACCCAGGAAGGAGCCCCGTGCAGGTCTATCACCCCCTTAGAGGAGACTGTGCCGAAATGCAGGCCCTGCTCTTCACTGGTGTCACTGTGGTTGGTGATAAAGACTCTTGTGGCAGTTCTCATAAACTGCTTTTGTGCTATGCTGGTTTTTGTGCTTGTAATAATAATGATTTGCAATTGGCTCATTGTTTCCAGTAAAGAATAGGCCCAGATAATGGTGAGAGTTGGAGGAAAGCCAGGTCAGTGGTCCTGAGCAGGAAATGGCAAGGCTGTGCACCCCACCAGGCATCATTCCTCTTCCTCATGCCTGTTGTCACCCTGCCCTGGGCTTCTCTTCTGTCAGCCCCTTTGTGGGCTGAGGTTGTGGAAGCCACAGAGCAAGTGTCTGAGTTGAAACCACTTGTTTTCTTTTGTTTTTTTCCGTCGCTTATAATGGCCAAAATAATAGATTGGCCCCTGTCAGAGTTGAGAGTCAGTTGGGGTATGGACCTGGAGTCAAATTTGTCAATTTAACATTGTGCGGCTGAGGTAATTTTCCATCTTCTGTGACTTCATAGACCATCGTTGATTCCTGGTCTCTGATTGTGCAAGTCTGCAAAAGTGTCAGCTGTGCTGGCTGGCTGCTCTGGACTGCAGTGACAGTGTATGGCCAGCCCATTCTTGTCCTCTCAGATCCAGCCTTTGCCCAGTCACAGCCCTGGGATGCTAGGGACCTCAGATTTCTTAACAGACTCAAGCCAGGATGCCAGCTAAATGCTGTGGCTCTCACGAAGACACTGTCCTTACAGGCTGGGCCTAGTCTCTTGAGGCTCAGCAGGGAACTTGTGGCAGCCTCCTTTGTGAATGTCCATCTTCTTGGGGCTGGACCTCCGAGCCCAGTATTGAGATTGCTGGTGAAGGGTGACCCCAGAGGCTTCTCAAATTGAGAATGTATTCCTTTAATGTTACTTTACTCTTCATTTATAGGATTCTTTGGGGAGAACCTGTGGTTGGGGCTGAGTTTTATTTTGCCCCTAGAGTGGCCTGGTTCCATTTGACTTACTGCAGCAGTGGGGGCAGTGGTGTTGAGCTTGACATCAAGTGAAGCTATTAGTTGTTACTGTAAAAATTAATGTATTTTGAAATTATGAAATTTTTAATGGAGGACAGAACAGTGGTTGTCAGGAGTTAGAGATGAGAGTGGGGGACAGAAGGGAGGTGTGTGTGGTTATAAAAGGGATCCTTATGGCGGTGAAGCTGTTCAGTATCTTGACTATGGTCGTGAATATAGGAACCTACACAGACAACAGAATTCTATAGAACTACATACATATAACACACAAATAAGTAAAACTGGATAAATCTGAATTTTAAAAGTTAATTTTAAGGAGTTGGTTTATACTTTGGAAGGTTATAAAATCACTTTCAATTATCTACATTTAAAATGAAGTATCTCAAAAATAAACAAATAAAATAAAACTAAGTATCTCTCTAAAAACAAAAGTTGAATTAATATGCCCAGTCGATGTGGCTCGGTGGTTGAGATGAACCAGGAGGTCACGGTTAGATTCCTAGTCAGAGCACACGCCCAAGTTGCAGGCTCAATCCCCAGTAGGGGCCGTGCAGGAGGCAGCCAATCAATGATTATCTCTCATCATTGATGTTTCTAGCTCTCCCTCTCCCTTCCTCTCTGAAATCAATAAAAAAATATTTTTTTAAACATTAAATTAATGTAAAACATGTTCCCAAATTCTAGGCTTAATTTACAAAAATAAAACAGAGCCCAAAGGACACTTGAATGGGATATCTGTTATTTCAGAGGAAACAAAGTTCAAGTCCTGCTGGGGTTTTGTTTGGGTTTTGGTTATTTTTAATAAAGAGAGTACAGACTAAAAAGAGGCAAACATGAAGAACCAGTTTATTGCCTTCATCATGAATTCAGGCAGTTTAGCCAAAGTGGCCAGATGCAGTCTGACAGCTGAAGTGGCCTGTTCCTTCGGTGGTGAGAACGGCCTCCTTCTGTGTGGAGGCCACGCCCAGTGTAATTGCTGTAAGGCAGGGGCTGGGGAGAGAGGAAGGGTCTAGCACAGTGATGGCGAACCTTTTGAGCTCAGCGTGTCAGCATTTTGAAAAAACCCAACTTAACTCTGGTGCCTGTCACATATAGAACTTTTTTTGATATTTGCAACCATAGTAAAACAAAGACTTATATTTTTGATATTTATTTTATTTATTTAAATGCCATTTAACAAAGAAAAATCAACCAAAAAAATGAGTTCGCGTGTCACCTCTGATACGCGTGTCATAGGTTCGCCATCACTGGTCTAGCAGGACCCCTCAGTAAGTAGAGTGAATGACACTTAGGGCTTCCTCTCTTGCCACAGGGGCTCTTGGCGGCAGTGCGCAGATGCATCATGTAGATGTACTAGCGCCAGTGATGACGAACCTATGACACACGTGTCACCTCTGAACACATTATTTTGGTTGATTTTTCTTTGTTAAATTGCATTTAAATATATAAAATACACATCAAAAATATAAATCTTTGTTTTACTATGGTTGCAAATATCAAAAAATTTCTATATGTGATACGGCACCAGAGTTAAGTTAGGGTTTTTCAAAATGCTGACACGCCGAGCTCAAAAGGTTCGCCATCACTGCACTAGCCTCACCAAGGAGCCTGGGGCCTGTTTCCACTTCTAAGCTTTTTCATTCAAATAAATGAAGATTAATGAAATGCTCTGAAAACCTGACAATTCCCCAGTCACCCTCTCTAAGGGTAAACCTATTGTGTTAGAATGACCAAAATCGGCAGGACTGGCTTGTAAAACTTACGGCACCAGAGTTAAGTTAGGGTTTTTCAAAATGCTGACACGCCGAGCTCAAAAGGTTCGCCATCACTGCACTAGCCTCACCAAGGAGCCTGGGGCCTGTTTCCACTTCTAAGCTTTTTCATTCAAATAAATGAAGATTAATGAAATGCTCTGAAAAACCTGACAATTCCCCAGTCACCCTCTCTAAGGGTAAACCTATTGTGTTAGAATGACCAAAATCGGCAGGACTGGCTTGTAAAACTTTTTTTTTTAATAGTTCATTGATTCTTAGAGAGGAAGGAAGAAGGAGAGAGAGAAAGAGAAACATAGAAGTGAGAGAGAAACATCCATCAGCTGCCTCTGGCATTGCCTCAAGCCCACTTGTGCCCTGACCTGGAATCGAACCAGCAACCTTTCTGTGCATGGGACAATACCCAACCAACTGAGCCACACCAGCCACGGCTGTGAATCTTTTTCAGTTCTTTTTTACCCAAGAAATGAGAAGCCTTGCCCTAGCTGGCTTGGCTGAGTGGATAGAGTGCCGGCCTGAAGACTGAAGGGTCTCAGGTTCAATTCCCGTCAAGGGCACATGCCCAGGTTGCAGGCTCTATCCCCAGTAGGGGGCGTGCAGAAGACAGCCAATCAATGATTCTCATCATTGATGTTTCTCTCCCTTTCCCTTCCTCTCTGAAATCAATAAAAATATATTTTTTTAAAAAATGAAAGGAAAGTCTCTGTAGGTTCATACCAAATATGGAAATTTAAAAAGCTCCAAAGACTCTTTTAGAATCAGGGAAAAGCTCATGCTGAGGAGCAAGGATGGGACACTTAACCATGGGAGTTATATCTATTAAACATGACCACAAAGAGATTTGAGGCAGTGTGCAAGCATCAGTCCTGCTTACCACATGTACGTAAAGACCTGGCAGTGTGGGCAATGTGGGGGTCTCTCCTGGCATCTAGGCCCACTCAGACACTGCAGAACCAGTGGAGAGAACTTCACATTGTACACAGGCAGGGGGAGAAACCTTCAAAAAAAGCCAGTGAGCGATGACTGGGTAGCTCAGTTGGTTAAAGCACCGTCCCATTACACCAAGGTTGCGGGTTCAATCCCCAGTGAGAGCACATACAAGAATCAATAAATGAATGCATAAATAATTGGAATGACTCCTCTCCTCTTCTCTCGCCTCCCATCACCTTCTCTCTTCTCTTTTCCTCTCTTTCTGTCTCTCCCTGCTCCCACCCTCCCTTCCCCTTTTCTCCTATAAATTAAAAATGAAAAGTCAGTGAGCAGCCCAGCCAGTGTGGCTCAGTTGATTGAGCATTGTCCCATGCACTAGGAGGTCGCCAATTCAATTCCTGGTCAAGGTACATGCCTGGGTTATAGGCTCAATCCTGGTAGGGGACCAGCAGGGGTAGCTGATATTTCACTCTCACATCAGTGTTTCTCTCTTGTTCTCCTTCTCTCTCTAAAAATCAATTAAAAATCTTTTTAAAAAAATCATATTACAGCCCAGCCAATATGGCTCAGTGTTTGAGCATTGACCTATGAACCAGGAGGTCATGGTTTAATTGTGGGCTCGATCCTCAGTAGGGGGCGTGCAGGAGGCAGCTAATCAATGATGTTCTCTCATCGTTGATGTTTCTCTTTCTCCTTCTCCCTCTCTGAAATCAATAAAAACATATTTTTTAAAAATTGTTTAAAGAAAGAAAAAGAAAAGCTGATGATCAGAGGGCTCACTCTAAAGGCTCTCTGGCTACCAGGCCCTCACTGGGGAATTCTAGAAGCTAGCACACCCTGTTCTTTACTAAAGCACTGCTGGTTTGTAGGGACTGAGGCAGACCTGGGGGGAGTGCTAAAATTGTAATCTGGGATAGAGCCAAGTGTCGTTTTACAGATGAGTTGTTTGTAGTGACTCAGAAAATGGCTCAGGCAGGCTGTACCTATCCTGCCAGCCGCCACAACTGCCCTCCCAAGGGCCCAGGATAAGACCCAGGCCCATGTGATCAGCAAGCCTGCCCATCAGCTTTGCCTTCCCTCCGTTGAAACTGACCTTTTAGTCATAGGCTGGGCCAGTCAGGAAATGTTCTCCACAAAGTGAAAAGGGCAGGTTCCCTCTTGTAGTGGCCATGTTTCTAGGTGGGGTTGAAGGTCCACTCATTCATCTACCCTGCTTTAGACACCATATAGATTACAGCATTCAACAACCACCTTCCATCTTAATTGCAGAGACAGACTATAAATAAATAAGAAAATACAGAGTATGTAGCTGATGTTCAGTGCTTTGGAGAAGAATTGGAGCAGGAGAAGGTTGTGCCAGAGAGGGGGTTGCTGTTATCACATAGGCTGTATAAAGTCAGAGGGCACCTCCCTCACAAGAGAGTGAGAGTGAGAGTAAGCCCTGCAGGCATCTGAGCAAAGCACGTCACATGAGAGGGGACAGTGAGTGCATGGTGGAAGTATGCCTGGAATATTCAGTGAAGAGCCAGGAGGCCAAAGTTGCTGATTCAGGTAAGGGAAGGAATAGATGAAGTTCTAAGTGAAAATGTCAATTTGACTCTGCACATCTGGAGTTTGGAGGGAGTTCCAGGCAGGAGATACAAATGCAAGGGTATTTGACACATGTTTCCCAACATGGAAAGGTACCTGATGAACCCCCTTTTCTCTCTTGCCTACATGTTCTGTGAGGTAGTAGGAGAGGAAAGAGCTATTTTAAGAAGAATAGACCAATGCAGGAGTGCCTAACTTGGTCAGAAAACAGGCCTAAGAACACCGAGTCCCACTCTCAGAGCCCCATAGTCACCTGTGCAGACTTACCTTTACCATGGGGTTTGGGGATTGAATTCTACCCACTCTTGCACAGTTATGAGGACTAATGGAACTTGGGAATGCAGAAACACTGTGGATTCCAGTGGCTCCAAATCATAAAGTGGGGTGACTCAAAGAACCCAATCATAGGCTACTCCTCTTGGTCCTCCTTCCACTCTTGCTCAAGCCATTCGACATTCTCCTTTTTCCCCCACCCCACTCTGCCACTCCAATCAGTAAACTAACCATTCCCTTTTTTCCTCAGCTACACAGATGTTATTGATGTTGTCCAGGCCCTGCAGACCCATCCAGACTCAAATGTCAAGTCTTCCTTCACCATTGGCGCCATCACAGTGTGTGTGGAGCCCCTGAGCTGCTACATGGAGCACAGGTACACTCCTAAGATTACCTCCAGCCCACAGGACATGGTGTGTTTAGTGTACAGAAAGCAACACACTAGAAGGAGACACATCTTTATATGTTTGTCTTTTGGAACTCATCAGTCTACCTTATATACAATAAATGCTCAGTTGTTACTGGATTAGTGCCTGGTTCTCAGAAGACCCCTTTGAACTGGCAGCCTCTCCCCACTGTTTTTTGTGTGCTGAAGAGGCAGTGAAACTGGGAGCAGCATCTCCCAGAAAGAAATGCCCAGGGCAGCCTTTCCTTCTTTACTGCAGTCTTTACTGCATAGGAGGGGCCTGTGTCCCAAGGCACTTGGAGCTTCTCAAAGATACTTTTTCATATGGTGAAGCCATCTTAAAGCCATTTTATCTCGTTAATGACACTCATTCTCACTGCTAGCAGGGGAACTTTTTTTCTCACTTTGGAAGTAATATAAGAACAGCAGCCCTAACCTCTTTGGCTTAGTGGATAGAGTGTCAGCCTGCGGACTCAAGGGTCCCAGGTTCGATTCTGGTCAAGGGCATGTATCTGGGTTGCAGGCGCATCCCCAGTAGGGGGTGTGCAGGAGGCATCTGATCATGTTTCAAACTCTCTATCCTTCTCCCTTCCTCTCTGTTGAAAAAAAAAAAAGGTAGGAAGAGATAATAATAAGGAAACAACAGATGGAAGTTACACTTCAGAAAAATTAGCCCAAAGAAATACTCTTCTGCACTGTGAAGAAGAAAAAAAATTAAGGAGAATAGGAGCTAATAGGGTGGGGTAGAGAGAGCTCAAGGAAGAGATATGAGAGGTCTGGGGAGCCCTAGCCAGGTAACTCAGTTGGTTATCATCCCTATGTGCCAAGGTTGCAGGTTCGATCCTGGTCAGGGCACATGCCAGGACCAACCAGTGGCCTTAGCTGGTGTGGCTCAGTTGGTTGAGCATTGTCCCATGCACCCAGAGGTTGCAGGTTCAATTCCCAATCAGGCCACATGCCCAGGTTGTGGGCTCGATCCCCAATAGGGGGCAAGCAGGAGGCAGACAATTGATGTTTCTCTCTCATCAATGTTTCTGTCTCTCCCTCTCCCTTCCTTTCTCTCTAAAATCAATAAATATATATTTTTTAAAAAAGAGTAAACCAGTGAATGCACAAATGGGTGAAATAACAAATCAATGTTTCTCTCTCAAAAAAATGAGAATAGGTCATAGTAGTCTTGCATTTTCTTTCTGTAAAGTGGGGTTAGTATGGCTTCTTTAATCTAGGAGGTAGAATAGATTCAGGATGGACCTATGTGAGATTTGCCTGATGTCTTTATTTTAGTGGGTTTCATTCATTGAATTTCTATTGAGTGATTGCTGTATGCCAGGACCATTCTAATCATTGAAGAAGCAGCAAGGAACAAGTTAACCCAAGTCTCATGTGAATATGCACATGAGAATTTTGGGACACATGTTTTGGGACAGATGAGATCAGTATCATTTATTGATTGACTAAAATTTTATATAAATCAGGTACTTGGTTGGAACATGAGAAAATGCATGATACCATACCTACATAAAATTTAGGAGTATATTATAACCACAACTGTTTTTGTTATTCAGAGGTAGAGCTGGTCAGCAACCACAATAGTATATGTATTATTTCAGTGTTTGTTGGTGCAGAACTTGTCTACTATGTCCAAGACTCCTAAGCCAAGCACTCTTTAACATTGCAGTGTAGTGGAGAGGATGAGTGCGCCAGCATTTATTTGACTGTTTGTCAGGCCCTCTGATGCTTTACCCTCCTAATTCTCTAAGTCCCCCTTTAAGGTAGGCGTCATTGTCAGGTTTTACCACGACAGAGCCGCTCAGAAAAATTAAGTAATTTTCCAAATGCCACATCAATGGCATGTACATAATTAATCATGATATAGAGTAGGAAGTACCATAATAAAATATGCTTTGTATAATGCAATTTTATGCAAATGATGAAGAAGCGGTGATAACTCCTGTTTGAATTTGAAAGAAAGCCAGAGTATGAATTTGAAGGACCGGGATCCCAAAGATGCCAACATATGAGAAATTGTATTCCAGTTTTAGGGAATCATATGTATGTGCAAGTCCATGTGTTCTGACTATTTTCTTTGCAGATGCTTAAAGGGAGCAGCTCGATGACCTCAGGCCTTCTCAGATCCCTTAAGGGGGGACTCTGATCAACCTTATCTAAAATGCCTGGCTGTGAGAAGCAAGCAGGATGCTAAGAAGGGCCTTTCAGGTCACAAGCACTTGATGGGGACAGACACTTTCTAACAATATATTTGCTGTAGGGGGGAGGGGGTTCAGTGAACAGTGAGTGCAGGGAAGTCACTGAGTTTTGGTCTTGAAAGACTGGTGTGGATGTTCCAAGGCTCTTGACCTTGCTCAGAGCACATAGGGGGTTCCTCCTTGGAATTCTTCAGAAACCATGAGGCAGCCAGGCAAGAGCAACCCAAGAAGTGGTATTCATCCAGCTCATTCACCCACCAAATTTGGTTCCAAGTGATGTGTGCCTGGCTGGTTTTAGAAATCAAATAGAAGAATGAAGACTTGCCACCGCCAAGGGAAATCCCCCCGGTGTTTTGAACAACATTAGTACCTGCCACATAGACCAGAAACAGTTCAGAAGTGTGGCTTCAGTAAGCATCCTACTTGCAGGGAAAGGAAACAGAAGCTCTGTGGTGCCAAGCAGACCTGGGCCCTGCATCAGCCCTCCCACTTCCTGGCTTCATGTGCAGCCTTGGGCAAAGTGCTTGACTGCTTAGTCATCCTACACTCATTCTTCTCAGCTTTTAATCGGGTGGAAGTAAAGACAGAACAAGATTGTATACTTGAGCTGCATGCATAGCGCCCAGCCCCACAGTAAGATAAAAGGAGCTATTCTCATTAGTGTTACTGTTCTTCCCTGAGAAGAGCACTATGATGTTTTAGGAGTTTTAAAGCACTGAGAGGATGGGATTTTCTCTGGGGCTTCCTACAGAGCTCCAGTTCTTAACTAACTCTCACTTGGGATCAGTCACCCTCACCTGCTTCAGTTGTGACCCAGTCAGTTTGCTGCTTTTCATTCACTATTAGAGGTCAGAATGGGATTAAAGGGGAAGCAGGATTCTAGTGCGCACATGGAGGGAAAGATGGCACCTTTGGTACTGAAAGCCCCTGTTAGAGTTAGGTGAATGTAACTTTTCACATTTTCCCTTGAATTTCCCCTTTAAGAAGACAGTATCTCTTAAAAAAAAAAAAAAAAAAGCCAGCTCTCTTTCTGTTCCTATAGTCTAGAGACTGGCCATGCCCAGGTATCCCCTCTTAAGCATTCCACCAAGGGTTGGCCACGTAGGGACTTTTCCTGGCTTAAGGAACTCTGTTTTGGTTCAAAGCTGTGAAAACTTCTTGCATAGCCATGGCTATCCTAATGCTCAGTGCTGCCTGCCACTTGCCCCTCGAGTAAATCATCTTAGGTATCAGTGATATGCTCATTTTTGTGGGAAATAATGACAACTGTGACTTTATGGCTTTAAAATATTTATTTTTCCTCCCTAGATTTCTCTTTCCAAAATGTCTTGACCAGTGTTCACAAGGTAAGCAATGGGCTTTACTCGTGTTTGCATGACTTTCAGATTCTGTTTAGATGCAACAGACTTTTCTTCATGCTCCTACCTACCATTCTAAAATCTAAAACAAATAAATTGGTACAGGGAAAACTTTGACATCTTTTATTTTTATATTTGATAGGCAGATTTCTTCCAGAGTTTGTTTCTTAATGATGACAAATTGCCATGGCAACTCCTCTCCTGAGCTGGGTTTAAATCTGCCCTTGCCTTCCAACTAATATCAGTGGACTGAATAGGTATTCCTAGCCTCTGGAACATCAAGATCTTGCATTTCTCCTGTCCCATGAGTGCAGAGTATAGCCCAATAGAACCTTCTCCCTTAATATTCCCCCTACATACAATGAAATTTTCTAAATCCTTGGTAGCATTTAGAAAAATCCACACATCCTGTAGGTTACACTCAACTTTGCATTGTCTTACTGTCTGGAACCCTAGAAGCAGCACTTTTTAGTCATATTAGCTATGGTGCCTGGAGACCCAGAATAAATCCTAAGTTTCCTGTAGTGGTGATAAAATGCTCATTGTTGTCAGAAGACCTGGGCTCTGGGCTTCCTGAGTCAGCCCAGCCAGTAGATATCAGACAAAGAAATAACTCGGTGTGCCAGCAGAGTTTTGCCCTGCTGAGCCCCTGCCAGTCCACAGGGAGCGGAGACAGCAGAGCATACCAGAGATCCAGAGATGTTGTCCTGGGAAGCAGCTGAGCTGGGTGCTGCACAGGGCAGGAGGCCGGGTCACTGGAGGGAGGAATGTGCGTTGGACTGCTGACCAGGAGTCTCAAGTCCCGCCTTCAGAGGTCCCTGTGGCTTTACAGGCATTGCACCCCAGAAGCTGAGTGGAATGGAGGTAGATACCCATAGTATCTACCACATGTAGAGATTAAGGAGATTTTATGGAAGTTGGGTCGGTAGGATATGATGATAGGTTACACATGGGACATGAGTTAGAAAAAGGAGGTATCTTGGATGACTGCTAGGTTTCTAGCTTGAGAGATTAGGAAGGTTGGTAGTGCCTGTCCTTGAAATAGAAAGCACAGGAAAAAAACAAAGGACTGGAAGATAACCAAGGAGAGCTGTCTGGTCCTCAGATACATGTTTGGTAGTCAGCATCAAAGCCACGGGTGTGGGCTGTCGTCAGCTCCTGTCCACCACATTATTGCCACCCTAGTGTCCTTGGCTCCTTGACACTTTCTCCCTCAGTGTCCCTCTGGTTTTTTTGCACACAAAGCACAGATGGTTGGGCTGCACTGGCAAAGGGCAAGTGCTTTGTCTTCACTGTTCATGAAACTGAGCAATATTCAGGACAGATTGCATTCTCTCTGGCACTTATTAGGAATATTTCAATATCACTGTCTCCTAATTCAGTGTTCAAAGGCAACCTGTGTCAAATTCTATGCTTGTATAAAGCTAGGGATATGATCAGATATGGGCAGTCGATCTTGGATCCACATATGCTGTTTTCTGAACTCCAGGGGGCTTGTGCAGTGACGGTGCCTTGATAAATATCTTCCCCTTGCATCTGGGCCCAGGGAACCCTGTGGACTAGTCTGACCTGGCTCACCATGAGCATGGGCTGCATGGGGGCCCAGTGGGGGGAGATAAAAGGCAAGGT